CGACGCCTGGTCTCGCAAGAAGTAACAGCAAGGGTTTTGGATACAACGGACGTTTTTCCCCAAGAAACATTATCCATTTTCTTGGGACCTGAATGTAAGTAGGCGGGAACAAACATGACGAGGACTTGCGCGGTCTTAGGGGAAGCGGAGTGCTACTGGACGCAACTTGATACAAATACCGTTTCGTATCATGCGTCTGCGGAATTTGCGGCGACACCGCTGTTTGTGAGCGGGAGGACGAATGAGTTGGTGGTAGTGTGATAGGCAACCTGGACTCTTATCAGCGAGAACGACTCCACGACTGATGGACGGAATGTCTGTCACGGCGGAAATAGTTCGCGGATCACCTTGGCGAACAAAAACACACGTTTAATTGACAGTAGTTGGGAAAGCTGTGCCTCTTGGGACAGGCAGACGATTATTTAGCCACGACGAGAGAAGGAGAGAGTAGTAATGGAAGTTTCACAGCTCAGGCTTGCCGTAGTGCAGGACGGTAGCTGACAATGAGCCCTGTTTGAATCAGCCGGCGAACTGCAGGTTCTCTGTTAAAGAAGATGTCGGCTACGGGCAAAACTCCTACGAAAACGCCCGCTCGACGGAGAGTGAAACACTGTCATGTCTGGAGGACTTAAATTACACGAAAAGTTTGGATCAGCCGGAATGTCAGCTCACATTGTCCTGGCCAAAAGTGTGAACTAATTATTTCATCCTCAGGACTGAAGGCAGGAGCCTGGTGCTTGATGTTGGCCTTCAAACTCCTCAGTCTATCAGCGGGCTGAAATCAGGGTGGTTAAGTCCCGGTAAGAACAGCCCTCGGAGACAAGCAAATTCGTCGGTTTTTTGTGTGCTCAGAGAATTTCTGACCGCCAAATGATTTATAGGCCAGAAATCAACTGACGACTGGTTTTGCCAGTGACGATCTGATGTAACTCAAACATCACACCTTAGTAATAGTCATCGGTGATTTTGAAAAGATTAAATAAGGACATTTTTCTAACTATTTGGCTACTCTGAGATTGGTCAGATGTGATCATGTAGCCCCACCTGAGATAGAAAAAACCCAGCCAGCTGTAACAACGGAGCGGTGGTAATAGGGGTTTTTACAGATGGAGCAGGGGAACGCACAGCCGACGAGGGCAGGTAGTTGTATCCAAAAGAAAAGCTATTAGGAATGAGCAGTTGTACTTTAAGTGGTTGATAAACGGTCGCCCTAACCCATAACCCTAAGCCTAAACTCTAACCTCTAATCTGAACCTCGAACGATAACCACTTAGCCTAAGCCACGACCCTAACCTCTAGCCCTAGGCTCCAACAACCAGCCCTAACCCCTAACCCTAACCATAACCTCAACACTAATCTCTAATCCTGACCCTAACCCTGGAACATCCAGTGCGAAAGTTGGAAGGAGACAAGAGGCCGAAAGTCAAGAAGGATCACCGGCATTGGGCCAAAAAGGTAGTCACGGCAACATAGAAACAAGGCCGCCAACAGAACACACACCGTAACGCACAGCAACACCATGCCAAAGTAATCACACCAACTCAAAATAATTGACCAAGTCAACAGTATTGTGTCCATCAGGTGCGGCTACATAACCCCATCTTACCCTGAGATTTTAAAGGGAAGTTATGGAATCCCCACATCATCGATTTTGCTGCTAATGAAGGAACCTTCTATGCTGAAGACTTTGAAATATGAAATTCTAAAGTAACGGCAGCTAAGGTCTGCTTAAAGTTTACAATGGTTACGCCGAACCCCCCTCTGGAAGGTCAGGATTGCAGTAAAAGTGGCCTGCACGTCGTAGCCGATAGCCTAACCTGACAGTCTCTCATGTCTAGGAGCCCAATCAGCATTGTTCCACGTCCTCAAATCGCTTTTCACAAGCTCGAGGGTCGTTGTACTCCGGGGCACCAAAGTGAAGAAAGCGTGAACTGGGTCGCTGTCTGTAAACAACACAGGCATAGGTAATTATGAGACGTACTCTGAGTATGAAATACAGCTTCCTGCCCTTTTATCGTACACCGTGTAACTCTGGTTCCTTCTCACCCGCTGACGTGCTTGCCCTACAGTGTCAGCAGAAATGAATAGTACCTACTTGCATCCTTGATGGAGTGGATTATTATTGATTCAGTCCAGCCCATAATACAGGTTCAGGCGTGCTGAATGGTCAGCCCTCATTGTAGTCAGTCGGCACGAAACTGCGGAGTAAAGTTGAGTCAGGTGTCAAATCAGTCTGGCATAAAGAAGACCGCAGACCATCGATGACCCCGGAGGTTCGCTTTTGCCACGGCTGACCCACGCTCCTGGCAACTGTTTAGAGCGATGCTATTTGAGCTCCCGCGGTAAAAGTGGGTGGGAAGCAAGGTTTCCCATTAAAATGACGAGTGTTGAACTCCACGTCTCGTATGAAAGCAAGGTTTCTGAGACAACTCTGCGTGCAACTGTCACCCACCAACGTGCGTCGTTTTGAGGTCAAGTTTATGCTGACCAAGTCCCAGGGAGCAGTCGCAAAGGGGACGAGATCGCTGCCTGCGATGAAGGCGGTTGCTACCAATCATGATAGGCGTGCAGGAGCATAGGAAATACATCTTATAAATACCGCAACACTTATGCAACTAATTAACCTCCATTGATTCTTGCACCTGATGGTGGATTCGAGTATGGACCTGAAAAGACAAG